AGGGATGAGAGGTGAATCACTTCGGCCTTTCATGTGACCGGGGGATTGCCTTGGAGGGACGAGGCAGCAGCCCGTCACCATCACACACACCCGGAGCAGCTACAAATTAATTCATTCCAACAACAACCCCTGTCCTCACCTGCTGCAACACGCTCCGCCAGCACTCGCGCAATCAACCAGCGAATTCCTTCCGCTCTGAGCTGTGAGGTGGAGGGTGAGGACAGGGGGGAGGGAGGGAGGGGGTTGTGGGCTCCATGTTGTGATTGTGATGTTGTGTAAATGACAGGTATGTTTGAATCCCGTGTCTGATGCAAACATCACACCACCCACACCCGTACTGGGGTCGGACAACAAACACGTTTGCTTCCAAGAACGTGAAAATACATGCCAAGATGACAGGGCGATTCAGAGATGACGGGTTATTCATTTGGTTTGGTTAAACACACATTGCATGCAGCATAACATTGATCCACTCCATGTGTGAATCAAAGACATGCAATACGTATGGTCCAACACGTCCTTTAAGCCAAGTCTACGTGTGGCTTTTTTTTTTTTTTGGTCGAATACACTTAAATGTTTCCTTCCAAATAGGGAAACAACTTGGAAATAATTTGACTGCAATTTATGACAACACGGTGAAGAGGAAGAAAGACTGATTGAGACAGAGAGGGCTGATTTAAGGCGGCCCGATGGGAGAGGAGAAAATCAGATCAAAGCTGAGCAGTTGTCAGCGTCCTCTTTTGTCTTTGCTAGGAATGAGAAGCAGAGCTGCAAGGCCTTGAAAACAGCTGCCCTGAAGCAGACGGCTGCTCCCTCCCAGCTGACTGTCAGCTGTGCTTTCTGCCTCACTATTAAACACTAAATATTACATTAAACTATACCAGTGTGTTTGAGGCGGTGTGTATGTACTGGTCACGTATTATGTTCCATTTCACTGACCATTTTCAAGTACATTCTTTGCAGATCTAGATTTCTGGATGTATTGTTACTGCTGTTCCAGTCTGCCATTCAGTTCTATATGATAGATAGATGTACCAGTAGATCTATGACAATCTATTGAAATATACTTAAAACTTGCTTTAGTTGTGTTCTTAATCAATCTGTAAGACCCTTTGTCTGTGCGTTACTCTATCATTGCATGATGACACAGTTTAAATGTAAACTGATGAGAAAAGTTGCCACTAAAGCTGAAACAAAATCTGGAAAATTTTATGACAGCATTTCTGATAACTGATTTATAATTCCCCAACTGCTCAAGTGTGAATATTTACTGGTTCTCTTAGTCCTCCATTATAGTAAACTGAGTATTTTTGGACTGTTAATTGGCAAAACAAGTATGTGAAGGGTATTTCTCAGTATTTTGACATTTTATACACCAAAACAATGAAGTGATAAATAAAAAGTAACTGACACATTAATCTCTAATCATCAAATGAATGTGAGTTCTACATCTTACAACAATAATGGAACCAAAACTAAAGCTGACTTGCTCTTCACTTTGAATGTTATGTTATGTTTTCATTTCATGTTTCAGTTTGAATCTAGAGTAAATAGTTTTTTGTTTTTTTTACTGTATGGAAATGAATGGAAACCAGTGGATACCTAAAACAGTAGAAAATATACATTTTCTATTAGCATGGTTTGCAAAATGAATAATTGTGATATAAAGTAAAAGTGATGTGTAGTAAATAAGCTAAAACATGCAAAAGCAGTGGTACAGTCTTTTATGCTGTATTGAATTTAGAGCGATGCCAACAGAAAATCTATATGTTAATGAATCAATATAACCTTCGACTGCACAAAGATATTCAGTCTTGCTGCCAGAATATATTGGAGTCTTTCATTTGAAAAGAGAGCCCCCTCCCTTCCCTCCTCTCACCCTGTTTGAAATGCCTGTTAACAGGGCTCAAGTCAGTAATTGATTTTACCTCTCTAATCTCCTCTCTCTATTATGAGGAGATTTCTCCTCTGCACCTGGGGCCACCGCTCTTGTCTTTTTTTCTTATCTGCCTCTGAGTACACTTGCCCCTCCCAGTGGGGGTTGTACTAATCCCCATCCACCACACTGTTCTTGCACAGACATACACACACCCATGGGAGAACCCCACAGCCGGCAGCAGGCCAGACAGTGCCTTGAGCTGCCTGCCGGTCATGTAAAACAGACACAGATGGAGAAGCAAAACCAGACACAATACCAGTTTCAGTACAGTGAGAAGGAAACTGGTGTCAAGCTATAGCAACTAGAGTACCAACATGTCAAAAGATTACAGAGGTGGAGGACAAAAGGTCTGGGTAAACTACTTGCATCACATCACTTACCCTTCCACAGAGTCTTCTGTCACTTTAGAGTGGAACACATTTGGTTGAAGACAGTTGAGTCTGACATGACTTCAGTGTGACACCATAAATGATCCTCTGCCAGTGTGATTCAGCACTTCGGCCACCGCACACTTCAGCTGAACAAGAGGGGAGCTGACAGTGACAGCTGCAGAGGAGGCCAGAGGAGGATGGATAAAGATGGTCAGAGTACAGACAAACATCACAGAGAAACTCTGAATGTAGAGAAAAACATCTACTCTCAGAATTATATGTAAATACACTAAATAGGATGAGCAATTTGTCATGGGGAGTTGAGAATTCAAACTGTAAAAGTAGCTTTGATCATTTGATGAATAAAGAGGGAAAAAACTAAAAGATTACAAAATGAAAAGAGCCTCATGAATGATAATGTCTCATTAACATGGTTTTCCACTCAGCCTGACATTCCTCTCAGAAAGAAATCAGTAGGCCTTAGGCTACATGTGTTTTCTTTTATGTGTAAATGGTCTTAGATTTATGACATTTTTTGTAATGCCTGTAATTATCTGTAGTTATGTATTTCTGTGTTTTTTTAGAGGTATATGACCATTCTAACAAATAACATGTTAAAAGTAAAAGATATCATGGAATTATAGGAGACTTCTTGTAAAATTACAGTACTGGATGATAATTATTGTAAAGATTTATATAATGTACGTTTTTCCAACATATTTTTTCTGGCACTATCACGGAACCAAAACAGTTTAATATCAGTGCTTATCAGTTGTTTAAACAAGACTGGGTCAAAACATAGTATATGGCTGGACCGCCTACGGACAAACCTTTATTTTATAACCACGATGTCATCTGACAAAATCACCAAATACATAAATTAAAGACAAAGACCGTGCTGTGATTTCGGCTAAATTTACTTATAAAATGATCACTCCGAGAGAAAGTTAGAAGCAACAGAATATATTTCTTATATTGTCTCTCCACAGCCTGTCTGGAAACCACAACAGTTAAGTCTTTATGTACCTCAACTCCAGTGCTGATATTCAGTACAACATCACGACCTTGAGTGTGATATTGCTTTTATACATTTCTATGAGCGCCATATTAGTTAAATAAGCAACAACAGATTACGATTTGTTTTATTTATTTCATCGCTTATTCTGCAAAGCCAACTCAAATAGTTCCGCAACCGGACTGTTACTGGACTGTTGCCACACATAAACATTTTCCTGACCTGCACAATGCACACCAGCTTGCTACTTTGTCTTCACTTACCTCAGGAGTGCCCTGAAGTGTCCAGGCTTCTTCCCTTCATCTTTTCCTTTCCCTTTTTTCTGAGGATCACACATGATTTAATCAAAATGTTAATATATTCATCTTTGCGGTGAAAAGTTGGTTACAATCTAAGATAGATAACGAACGTTAATGTAACCCTGATTATTGGTTAAAGGAACACCTGTGAAGCGGAGTGATACATGTAGTTAAAAGTCCCAGTGCTGTTACAACACTCATGGAATGCCTCTTGTCAACTTAACGTGTAAAATACACATTTAGATTATTAGATTTTTAAGTGGGCAAAACATATGATTCAGACCCGTCGCCAGACCTCAGTCTTAAGGGGGGCATATGAAATGCATGGGAGGGCACAATTATTATTAACCAGTCGCGGTTGCACTTGACCTGCTGATAGCCTCCGCTCCGTGGCCGCTGCAGGTCCTGCCAGGCCCAGGGTCGGGCTCCACGGAGCTATTAGCAACGGGCTCAGACTGTCGTCCAGGGTCTCCTTCTCCAACGACATCAGGGGGCGTCGGTGTCGTATCCAATTTGGCAGAGGAGACTGTTGGTGGGCTTTTCAACCACTTACGAATATCCATGATGAACTAGAAATGTAATAGTAAGCCGGTGAAAACTCATCCAGCTTCACTTTCAAAATGCGCGGTCACTGCTAAGCGGCTACATTGACTTAGGCTACGTCACGTACATAGCGTAACTTTCTTTTCAGTAAGGCCGTGATAGGCTGTTGCAGTGTACATTCCCATCAATCAAACAAAATCACACCATTGTTTCTTTATATTCTTAATGTTTTAATGACAAAGAATACAACATTAGTATTTCTCAACACAAAATTAGCTACTATGATAATATAAAATAAGAATTAAAGTAATTTTTTCTCTGTGCCTCAAGTGGGGGGGCACAAGCATTTTTGGGGGCGGGCCAGGCCCTAGGAAGGCCAGACACACTGGTTAAGACGCAGGCCCATATGAACCAGAACACCCATTACAGTTGATTAAATGCAACCTCCTCTGTTAACAGAATAACTTTCACTTTGAGACCAATGTGCCCAATCTCTTCTACTCTATAGCTACTGCCCTCTCTAATGACAGTTTTTCTGCACCCTAAAGGTTCTATTATCTTCATTAATAAGCAGGCCTACATATAGTGTAAGGAGAAATCTGAAGCATCCATCAATAATTACAACAATTAACATGCATAAAAATGTATTTTCCTTAAACAAACACGTTCACATGACAAAGTAATTTCTGACTATCATGCTGTCCATCTACTGCAAATCAGTAGATGGTGGTAAACAACCATGACACCAACTGTTGTTTCCACTCCGTGTCAGCAGGTGGCAGCGTTAGAGAGGAGAAACAGTCACAGTCAAACATCCGTCAACAGACAGGACACCTCCAGCCTGTTTACAACCGTGCTGCTACCTCGTTTCATAACATCAGACTGAATATAAGTCGGCATTTCTCTGTCCTCTGTCAGTTACTGTCATTTGATTGATGTTAGTCAGAGAAATGACTTGCATAAAGCAAATACTTTGCAAAAGACCTCGAATAAAAGTCGGACGTTTGTTTGGTGCAGCTTTCGCCGCCTGCAGATGTTTCCGTGCAGAAACAGTAAGAAGTTACTGCTTCGGTTAAGTGAAGTCATGTTTTCTGAACCTTACAAACACAATGCATCGCAGTGAAGCTGACCTTGCAGTGCACCTTCTCGTCACCTCCCAGGTAAGACATGGATCCGGCGGGCTGCCAGTAGTTCATCACAGCGGGTACGTGTGTGACCTCCCACCAAAGCACAGGTTTCCGATGGGCAAGTTTCCCCGGGTTTTACACTTTCTAATCAAAGACCAAGTCATTACAGAGAAACAGGTGAGGGGGCATTGATATTTCTAGCTAAACAAATTTCCTTATGGCGATTATTATTATTATTAACTGATTAAATATCACAGATATCTTCTATTAGTTAATTAATTGATCACAATTTTTACAATTTCTGAATGATTATGCTGCTTTCCCTTGTCTTTGTGTCTGTAAATTGATCTTTTGCTTTGGGACTGTACTACGATTACAACCGTTAATGTTCTGTCGGTTTATAAATTATATGATTAATCAACAAAAATAGTAGAGGATTAATTGATAGTGAAAAATCAGTTAGTTACAAGACTTATATTATTACTTGTTTTCCCACATTTTACTCTGTTTTCCTTCTTCAGTAGGTGTGGGTTCCTCAAATTGCCTCTAAAGATTTACTGAGCTGTGTGCACACTGAGGAATACCTGAACAACTTCATAAATGGGAAGGTAAATGAGCAGGAACAAAGGAGGACAGGTTTCTCCTGGAGCGAGGGCCTGGTGAGACGATGTCGATATGAAACAGGTGAGGAGGAGACCTGCAGCAGAGGTGACTTCACAGCTGCATGCCCTGGAAAGATCACACTGCATGAGCGGTTCACCTTGTCTCTTGTTGACAGGTGGGACTCTTCTGGCTGCTGAAGTCGCTCTGCAGAGGGGTCTGGCCTGCAGTACAGCAGGAGGAACCCATCATGCTTTTCCAAGCTTTGGTTCAGGGTTTTGTCTCCTCAATGACTTAGCAGTTGCAGCCAAATACCTGATGGGCAACTCCTCACCCAAGAGGAAGGTTCTGATTGTGGATCTAGACGTGCATCAGGTGGAATCAACTCATCTCTGCTACTTTTTAACGCTGTAGGATCAGAACAATATGTCACAAGTACAACACTTTTTTTTTTTTAACACTAGTAAAAATTCAATTTTTTTCATCCAACAGGGTGACGGCACAGCTTTCATATTTAAAGAGGAGACGTGTGTGTTTACATTCTCAGTGCATTGTGGGAAAAACTTCCCCCTCCGCAAACAACAGAGTGACCTAGATATCAGCGTGGAGGATGGGATGGAAGACAAGGACTACCTCTCCACAGGCATGTTAACTCAGGCAGTAATAATTAAACAGTGTTGCAGTCAAGTCACTAAATCTCAGTTTAGTCACAGTTCAAGATCCGTACTTTATTTTTCCATCTTTAATATGAACTAACTATATCTGATGATGCTCTCGGCAGTGGAGGCTCACCTTCCCTGGCTGCTGGAGACTTTTCGTCCAGACCTGGTGCTGTATGACGCAGGCGTCGACCCTCACTGGGAAGATGAACTCGGGAGGCTCCGCCTGACTGACCAAGGTGAGCGAGAACTTTGACGCACGGCTATCTCTCCCCACATTTCGAGAGTGTTTTATTTTTCAATGACTCTGTGTCTCCTAGGGCTGTATCAGAGAGATCTGTATGTGATGAAGACTGTGGTGAGCAGGGGCGTTCCTGTCGCTGCCGTTATTGGAGGAGGATATTCAAGAGACATCGACAAACTGGCCCTCAGACACTCCATCGTCCACAGAGCAGCAACTCAGGTACAGGAAACACAGCTGCCTAAACAGGTGTTTCCAAATGGCCACTTTCAATACAGAAAGACTTACAGCAACAGTAAACATATTGTAACCACTGGTTTTACTGGACGTGAGTGATTGTTGTATTCATGTTCTTCGTTTTTCAGGTTTGGAGGGAATGTGGAATGTAAAACCTTCATCCCCTGAATGAAGAGGACCCTCAAAGCCCAACTGATACTTGATCTTTAGGAGCCAGTGCCAATATTAATATGTGGTAATAAAAGAATTGATGTGAATCACAACTTGCTTTATACTCTATATTAACAGGATGACATTTTTAATCAAGAATTATGAAAAAGATATTGGAGACAATGGACTTTGCATAATATTGTAATCTGCTGGACAAATTATGTGATTTTAAATTTTTTGTGGTAGATTGGAACAAGATATTTACAGCTAACCTACATGCTGTATGTGCTAAGCTAATGTATTCATTTGGAAATATAATTTGTTTTCATTTTGAAAAGCTGGTGATCATGGTCATGCAAGTGACTTTCTAGTATAGCATGTGGTGTGTTGGCTGAAGTCATTTAAGATGTCCAACTTGTTTACCTCATCAAGATACTGTATGGTTACTTCTGTAGTAGTTATTGTCTCTAGAACTATTAAATATTCTGTTATTGAACTATACACTCTGTGGTTGTCCCTGAATGCCAATCTACCAACGTATTACATGCATAAAATGTCAGTATATGCAACACAACACCAGTCATGAACAAAAATATTTAATGAGGAAAAACAAATCCAAAAGCATTTACATCAGGTCACATAAGACATTAAAGTACCAGTGTCACTTCAGAACAAACACAGTTGGTCCACACATACTGTACTGATAAAGATGTGCACCGTCCTTGGCACAATGGATTCAGATAACCAGTATGTTTTCAAGTTTCACCTACAGTTGTCATTCACTGACATCAAGCAGCGACATCTTTGTGGTACAGTGCAATGTTTATTCACAGTATATGAGGCAGTTGATTTGCCGAAACATACTAGTGGTATATATTCAGCTTGTTACGAGACGACGACACAGCTACTACAAGTATCAACATCAAGCACGCACACCGGCGGCACGTTCTTAGAAACACTTTGAGAATGAAACGTAACAAGCAAATGGCACATATGCTTTGGAAGATATTCTGCACAACTTTGAGCTCTTTTTATAATATAGTGTTTATAATAAATTACACATGAGCAGTTTACAGAAAGTCCCACCAAAAAGTACAGAGCACTCGCTGCTAGTTTAGCTCTTTGAATTCAGAGTTAAGGAACGTGCAGTTATAAAAACAGGCAGACAACAAAGAGTAAAGTAAGAATTTTTTTCACTGAAATCAAAGCATTGAAACGGATAAGAGCAGATGGAAGAGCATACTATAGTCTCAGAAATTCCCCTTTGGCTAGTATAATAGTCCAAAGAGAAAAACAGTGCATTTCTTAACATCTCTCTTGCAGAAATGCTCTTTAAAAAGAGTTAAAATCCTGGAGCTTCCTGTGTTTTGATGATAAAACCTAATTGTTGAAACCAAAACGAAACACACACACTGGATTTCTGGATACTGCTTGTTGGTTTCATGGATTGAAATAAAATAAATACTTTAAAAACATGGAAACATGGTTAACAGTGATAGCCATTGTTGAACACTGCCTTCCTGTGCGAAAACATTACAGAAATGCCATTTAAATTAATGCTAGATATGGATAAGTCTGTCAGCTGCTGCTGACGGCGATAATAAAAAATTACATTTTCCAAACAGTTCAGGAGAGAGCTGCAGCAGTGGAGTGGTTTCCTTTAGTGTTTAGTGTACCTTCAACAATGGCTACATCTGTACCTTTGCACACTTACAAGAATGTAAAAATCATCAAATGTGTGTTTCAGTGCTAAAACTTGAGGCAGAGTTGATGCAAAGTAAAATCAGACAAGTTAAAAATCATATTTTCCACAACTGAACTTTTTCTGCCACCACACACCAGTTGGCATGATCAAAGTAGGTGTGTTTGACATGAAGCTCTGCAACGTGATTCTCTATCAGCTCTGCCAGTTCTCCCTCCCTGAAGACGTGATAGTACCTCAGGCAGGAGCCTTCCACCTGTCCCTCGCTCCCCTGAGGACTCTCTGTGCTTTCCTGCGGCTCTTTTACCAGCGGCCCTCCTTCACTTTCATCTCCAGACTGCTTCATGTGCTCCGTCTGGAAAGGCACCAGATCTGGCAGGGCCAGAGAGCCACACTCCTGGGCTAAAGATACTGAGACACTCTGGTTTTCTGTGCCGTTGCTGTTGTTGTTGTTGCCCCCAGGATCATTTTGTCCCTTGTGCAGTTCTGTGACCGAGTCAAAGACGTCCTCCTCTGATCCGATCACAGGCGGAGGAGAAAAGAAGCTGGAGACCTGCTTGATGAGGCCTCGTCCTCTCCCGCACTGGCTGGCCCTGTTCCCCTCGTTTTCACCCGTGGGTGAAGATAAAGTGCTCAGGTCTCTGGAGGACGACCGGGAGATGGCTAAACTTCCAAAGTCGAACACAGAATCCAAAGACCTAGAGAAGAACCACAGTCTCTGAGTCCTCTGCTGCGGCGTGGTGCAGGTCAGGTCTTCTTCGTCTGCCACAGAGGATGTGCTTCTAACCTTCCTGTGCTTGTCAGTGTTGTCTATGGCTTCGCTCATGCTCTGTGCAGTGGCCCTCCTTCTGGTTTTGGCGTGCTCTCTATTGAAGCCAGAGGGCGAATGAGGGTTGGGGTTCCAGGGAACGAAAATGTCCTGTTTCTCAAATTTACGACGTTTCTGCTCCATGGCCCACACATAAATCATGATGCGTCCACCCACACGCAACGTGCGAGCCATCTCCTTTATTGCTCGAATACGGCGCTCTTTGGTGGACAAATGATGGATGACTGTGACAAAAATATTAATTTATCAGAATTAAGTAGGGTGGTGAGTAGGCATTTATTTAATCATGATGAAGTGTCACATTCAGCACTTGCAGTCAACAAACACATTATGTACACTGTGTATGGCACACCAGATAAATTAATAGTGTGGGTGTCTGCTTTTGGTCCTAATTGCACTCTTTTGTTGGAGGACACACATGAATTATTTCACTATGTTGGCCTGGCAACACAGGCTGGAGGTAAACTGATGTTTATCATTATTATGAGTTCATTAAATTTGAGGCAAACGGCAGCTGCATCAGTTGAACTTCATGCATATGAAGGGAGTGATTTGTTACTGAGTGAGAGGGATCAACAGCATCCAAACCTCACTTTAACTGCGCGTGTGTGTGTGTGTTTCGGTGTCAATTACCTGCAATAGAGAGCACAGCGTCGAAGCAGCTGTCTCTGTAAGGCAAATGCAGCCCATCGCACATCTGGACCTCATGTCCCTGGCTCCAGGCAAAGTCCACCAGGGGGCGACAAACGTCACACCCCAGCTTGAACACCTCCTTGTTGATGTGGAGGTACTTGCCATTGCCACAACCTGCCAAGGACAACACAATCAGCTACAGCGCTATAGACTGATGAGGAATGAATAGTGGTCTGATTAGATTTAAAACACATCTTCTCTCTTAAGGGAAGACAATTTTAGAATTAGTTGTGTTTTCAAAAACAAAAAAAAAAACCAACAGAATAAGCACAGATGATGTGTGAATCTAGTGTCATTACATTACTGCTGGAGGTGACACCTACCAATGTCAGCGACGATGCTTCCCGGCTGCAGGTCCAGCAGAAACTGTCGCACCTTTGGCCAGGCTTTATAGCGGCTGTCATTAAAATATGGAGCAATCTTGTCATAGACACTGTGCACATGGTCTCTCTCGAGCTGGCTGGCAGCCTCCTCCATCATGTTTGTCCAGGCTGCCTCATGCAGCGGCCTCACACCATCATGCCTGTGGGGACAAACATCTATTTGCTTATTTCCCAATGATAAATCTATCAAGTAGTCACTCTACTTCATTAAGGAGGGAACAGGAAACCGCGCCGAGGTGTCCCTCTCTACATGCTTGTTAAGGTCCAACGAGGTCAGCAGGAAACCTTAATCAGCAGACACACTGAAACATCTGTCAGGCAGCAAGGGTAATTTAACACCAAACCCTTCGCTTTGTACTCGAAGGACCTGCTGCGGCCACAATCAGTAACGCTTCTTACATCCACCCTGCAGTGCTCCAGGAGGACACACTGATGTTAAGCCATATGAATACATGTTGTCAGGTTTAATTTGTTATTAACTGTCTGTAACTGAAAAAAAACAAAAAAAACAAAACAGGGATCATAAATTAACTGAGAAGGTAACAGCGAGGAGGCAGTCCCACGACTCAGCGGGTCCATTTCCAAAGCGGCCGCGTCAAATTGTTTTCATGGCGATGCAGAGGTAAAAGGTCAACACATTAATCATTTTGGGAACAAGATGCAAAACAAAACGTCAGTCATGTCTGAAACAGAGTTCCTTTTACAAAGATTTTCATCAGCCATGTGAAGCATTCAATAGGTTACCACCATGCAGCTGCTGCAGCTGCTGGGTTTTAAAGATCATAATATTTCTTTCAGCGTCACAGGCAATGGAAGATTTCAGCACCAGCTCACGTTCTAGGAATCACTTTCACCTACAATGACTCTCATTGCTTCTGAGGCGGACTTTAAATTTCCCTGGAAATTCAAGGCTAATACACACACATGTGCATAGATCTTCATTCTGGTTACATTATTTTCCATCACCTGACAGCACTGCAGAACTGAATATCATTTAACTGTGTTACAGCTTTATTGGAGATTGTTTCTCTAATCTTCACATGAAAAACATCTTTTTTCATCTACATTACATAATTGGCCAAATTCATACTACTTCCACTGTTTTTCCTATTGAGGATTACTGGGAAATCATATTATATATATTATTTTGTGTATATAAAAATGTCATAAATAATAGCTTGTCACATTAATGAGTATTTTACTGCTGAATTTTCAGAGATGCATTACAGAATTTCAGAGTGAATTTGGGGATTATGTAATTGTGATGTTTGTGTTATGTCTGGTTTTCACAGCTCCCACTGCAGTCTTCTCAGTGTATTAGGATGCGGCCCACAGCTCCTGCAGTGCTGTTGCGGCTCCCTCAAGCACTATATGCATGAAGAGTTCTTCTACGTTATTATCCAAAGGATTACATTGTTACTTTGGGGGAAAACTTCTGTGCATTTGGCCTGTGTAGCTATCTTTCATAGCATATTATCACCCACTTTAATTAATTTCATGTAAAGCAAACCCACACGTAACAGTTTCCACCACATGCTGACCACAATGAGATTTTATGAGCACGCTTGTACAAACTGCAAATGTTCACAAAGCTGGAGAATTTAATTCAAGTGTAGTAATCTTAATGACAACACTTTTTTCCAAAGCTTATAAAAGTTGCTTTCTTGCAACAGTGATATATCAGCAATTCTGTTCCCGTTCATAAATTTTAAATGACTAAGTTTATTAAAAAAATTGCGGCTTGCTAGAAATATTTTACTTTTAAAATCTTTTGTGGGCTACATTTCTTTAACTTGAAGAAGTTAGTCTGTAATCAATGAGGATAATACCATTTTAATTTGATAATATAAAAAAGGGGTTGCTTTCTAACTACTGAATAAGGCCAGGGAGAGGCAAGCTCTCACTTTCTTCCTCAGCATTCACAATATTAAGCAACAAATCATCATTAAATCATACTGTAAAGTGCTGTGGGGTTACGTCTGTCTGTTTCTTTGAAATCACTGACAGGGATGCAGTCAGGACTGTGACACACTTCAAATCTTCAAGCTGAGGAATGTGACAAAGATTTTCTGCTCTATGTGATGTAGAGATGATTTGCTCCTTTGAATCACATGTGATGGATGAAAGGTGTCAGTGCCGACCCATCCCAGCAGACATCATACATCAATGCCATCATGTCGCTGTCATATGTTGCCAAGTCAATAAGCGATGTTATAAAGTCATCGTTGTTTATGTTTTTCCTCCAACTGCATTAGTTTCGCCACAGTGAGAAAATCTGCTTATGATGGTTTTAGTGTTTTCTTAGATGCCATTTTTATTTGGAAATGAAAAAGTCTGGGATTGTGGACATTTATCTTACTGCTACATATCTTACCCAGTCTATCACGTACCTATTTATTTTTGTTTTGTCTGTAGAGAAATTCTCAATAACATGTCTAAACCAAAGCAACACAACCTAATGAACCATGTAATGCCACAGTGCACTTTGCTGATGAGGTTAACCAGAAGGAAAGCTATCAGACATTTCCCCTCTGCCTCTCTCAGAAGATATTAAACTGATATGTCCTTGAATGTAATATTCACTGGTGCCCATTGTGCACCAGTGTACACACTGAACATGTGCTGGGAACATTTACCACAGGATATTAGCAACAAAAGCCGGGTTGTGCAACATGAAATGTAAATATTCTTCTCTACAAATTGATAGCCAGATCTGTACCCTCGCTGTGCATTAACAGCCTTGTCTGAATACTCCTCCGCTGGCACATATAGTGTGTGCAGCATCCCATCTTCCTTCCCTCAGACCTATTTCTGGACCACCATCATCTGCATCATCCCAGCCAAGTGGAAGCAAAACATCCCTTATGTAATGTTGTAATCTGGCCTCGTTCAGTATTGTCTTTGCTCTATTCCGCCCGATTTCCCCCCTCTGCTTACTAAACTGTGGTAGTCCTCGGCTGACATTATGTAACCGGCAGCTGGGGAGGCTGAGAGCACTGCCTCTGACTGACAATGGGGACTAAAATTAAATCAGGGGACAGAAGCAACGTCTGGCACACGGATTTGTCCAAGGTATAGGACGTTGACTGGATGAAGATAAAATCAGCCATCGTTTTGGGTCTTTTGTGCTTGCATATAGCTCTCCTGGCAAATATCTAAATATCAGCCAGTTCCATCACAAGATATTTTGGTCACAATAGCTCACATTTGCCTTAAACCCCTCATCATTCTGCACACATCTAACTTTAAATGTTCCTGGACCATGTTGATTACTTAGCCCTCCCCGGTGCCTTGATGAGATTGGTGGTGTTTATTATGAACAGACAGGGCAGCACAGTGATTCTGCCAGCTGCCACTGACCCCTATATGAACACACAGGGAGCCACAGGGAGACACAGAGAACAGGTTTACCCAGGTTCACCCAAGTCTGCCAGCAGTTAATGACTCAACATCAACATGTGGAGAGAGGATGTTTGCTAAACTTGGACTCCCCTCACTACTGCAAGCATATATTGTTCTCGAGCGGTAATGTATGGGACCTATACACTGTAATATGTTTTGAAAATATGCAGAAATTAATTAAACTTATGTATAGTAATAGAGCACAACCATTGGACAGACTAAATCCAATTCAGTTAAATCAAACTCATTGAGGCTATTTCCTTTTTTTGTGTATTCCAAATTAAAGACTGGATATCAGACTTGTCCTTCATTTGGGCTGCTACTTTATGCCGCTTCAAAGTTTCTTAAATGGATGCGTTAAAAACTAGACAAAACAATAAATCCAAGGTCGGTTTTTTTAGAGGCAATTAACCAATCAAAAACATAACATATGCTGCAATAACTGCTATAATTATGTCAACATTTCCCCATTCTCTGCTGCATCCTTCTCATCCACCGAAAACACAAACCCACTTACCGAACGTGCAAACCGCCGCGGAATTATCCGCCTCTGTCCTCAGGTCGCCGGAGGTAAACTTCCCTCTCTGCACATGCGATTCATCTACACGATGGATCTGCCGCGAGGATCAGAGGCACGCGCTCGACACGGCGACACCGGGCACATTATCAAGGACTGCGAGAGGACTGACAACGTGAGCCGAAAGGGAATACCTGCCGTGTGTGACCTCCAGCAGCGCACCGGCCGCCGGACTCTATCATACCCATAGCATGTTGAACCCCACACCTGTCAAGGTAGAATTAAATTACAGCGACTTTTCCGGTGAGGTGTTTCAAAATTACAGCCTCATTAGTGAAAGTGTGAAAACGCTGTAAGTAAATACTGTGTTAACCCTAAACTTTCTATCATAACACGAGAAATGATAGTCAACTAGTACTGTACGATAAGATTAAGAAAATTCAGTAAATGAATACTGAACAGAATGGTGTGGGCAGATGTTATTCCTGTCATTAAACAGTGATCAGAGCCGAAACAGAAATTGAAAAAAAAGGACGCATAAATCACAGGATCCTGATGATTGCCTTTTGAGGTTTCCTATCTAATGAACAGAAAACAACAAACAATGACATGACACAGAGCTACATGGGAACAGTAATTCACAACCCATTACAACAACCTATCCAAGTCTATTTTTCTAGCTCTCTTCTGCCCTCTTGAATGATTTGTTTTAAGATTTATGTGTTTGGCTGAATGGATGCAGATGATGAGCAGCGCCACATAAGCTTCTCTTAAGAGTATTGTACCAATATTGAAGAAAATACTGAATTAAGTGCTTCTGGTGTAATAAAAACAACCAAGGTAAAAGGAGGGACATTTGATTATTTCACCATGGTGTCCATTATAGCTATCATATGCACGTGGATATGAATTGTATTCACTTTACTCTAGTATTTACTGCACATTTGTGTATTTGCATACTGTACTGCTTCTATGCAACAGCTCAATATGTGACATTTTACATTCAATAATACACAAGTTCACGCTCTTATTTTGAAGAGCGTATGATCCAGTGTCCGGTCTTATTATGGTTGATTTGACTCAGCTGGTTGGTCGTCAGTGTGTAAAAAAGATGACACGCTGTGCGATTGCAGAACACGGTTGTCATTGGCTGTCAGCCTCACGTGACAACCACAATAAACAACGTGAACTGGAGTCGACAGACAACACCTCGTGCTCCACTTAAAATGAGTTTCACAGAGAACATTTATTAAATGGCTTTTCCCCATAGGCTAATGATGATAAATGATTTTAAAACAGCCATCATTGTGCGCAAATCTGTTATTCTCATGAGAGCTTTCATTTAATGCTTCATCCCTTTTTCCATCAGGCTAAATTGCTTTTAACCTGCACCAGGAGGCAAATACTGACAAGAAACCGACAGCTATCTTTAAGATGTACATTTACTATATAGCCTACATGCGGACATAACTACTATGTATACTAATGTGCTCATATATGACCCATATGTTTTTGTAAAACATAAACGATAATAAATAATGCTCTGTGCAGCCGTGCGTTACAACTTCCTCTCTTTAGCACCAAGAGTAAGGATACAGTGAGAGGTCTACATGAGTGTTTCCTGTTCATCCTGATCTTCCACTTGCAGTGGAGGTTATAATAATGCAACAACTGCATATAAAACATTGAGTTCTGTACCATTAGGCAATGCTTGGTGGGGTGGTAATTAGCACCCATTAGCCTGTCATGTCCAGTTTTTGTTGTCCTCTGGGTGTCAGCTCTAATTTCATCTGCCCTTTCGGTCTCTAAGATGGTTAATAGCAGTGACTTAATTGTGACTCAACACTGCCATTCAGGGAGCCCACTTCTCCCTCTGTGTCTACCGCAGGCTGCCTCACTTTACAATTGTACACCTTCACACCTGGGAAGTGCACAGCACAAACACACTTACACAGTGAGCCAGCAAACAAGGTGAGATGTTGAAAACACTCTTGTCCCCTCAGGTGAGGTTCAGCAGCTGGTAAACAACAGTAACCTTGTAAACCTCCACCCCCACATCGCTGCTGTTAATGTCAGCTTCTGTTCCATTGCTCTGTTTAATCTGCCCAATCATGAATTCAGGTAGTAGTCAGGCACCATCGTACATGATGTTTGTGTTTCAAGGACTCTTATCAGCCCCCAGCCTGAAAATCAAGAGAGAGCATCTGGCTGAGAAAATAGAAGCACATAGAAAATGCGGGATATAAAAGAGGAGGTAACTAATAGCCAAAAACAGAGTCATGTCCTTTGGTTGATTTACGCTATTGCCATTCACAGTGTATTTGTGTTTTTGCAGTGCCACTAGAGGAAGCATGGGCATGTTAGCTCCTCCAGGGATTAATGTTCATGAGTTTTCCTGTTTCTTACATCCTGTTGTTGGAATATCAGCAGGATATTGTGTCACTGTTACACAAATTACAGTTCACAGTTGCCAAGGCCTTGCTGGGAGTTCTATTGTAGTTTTACTTAATAAAGGACCTCTGGTTTTCTGGGTCATTTAAATCCCTGTGACCATGCAGCGCTGACATATGAGAGCGTATTCATGGATTTGCTGTAGCATAAAGGATAAATGTAAAACATTGCCAACAATGTACTGCATATAAAGAGTGAAAAATAATGCTTAGTTTAACTTAAACTACATCAAATAAAAGTACAATTTGAACAATTTAATCAAAGTTGAAATCCACTGTACGTTCATGAGATAAAGGCTCTCTGGAGCTGCTTAAGCTCTGTGCACAGTATAATTAAAGGAAGAAAGTCTTATAATAAGTGGTCTTCTAATAATAGAAAGATCATTTCTATACATGCTCCAGGAAGGTCACTGAAAGAAAGCCTTTCTAAGTAAATGGATAGTGCAAAGATTGGAGTGTGCTATAATCAAATCCCAATAGCTACCAATAGAAATTACAAGCAAAGACATGTGGTTACCCACATGAGGTCACATCTCAGATAATGTGTGTGTGAAGCGGGCAAACTGACCACCCGTGTTGGGAACTCTGTGATGACTACCAGCTTGTCTGCATTAGGCCAAACTGCTGCCAAATAGAATAATCTTGTTTTTCTGTGGAAATGAGCTGTTCATTTCATTTCCTAGAGCAGTTCATATCACTGTGTGTAACAAAGTGTTCAATGCTCCTGCTCATGTACAGACCACGGCTTTATCAAGGACCACGGTGTTGAACAGCTCCAGGATTTCAAAGGTCAAAGCTTTTCCCTTTAAGAAACAGAAGGCAGCTGCCATTATGCCCCATGCTGATAATATAATGGTGTTCCTGAGTTGGTTGCCAGAGATTATTTCATGCTACATTAAATATTCTTACAAGAAGAATGGAACCATCAAAGCTCCTGAAATGTCTATGAAGGACTCTGTTTTGATGGAAAATCTGTTACTATGTTACATAAATTGTCTGAAGTAGTAACACCACTGCCCTTCTCATCACAGTTTATTTTGTCTTCTTTATTGATTGATTTTTGTTATTGACTCACTGATTGATCTTGTGCCTAGATGCACCAGTTTCTTGAAGTCAAATAATTATCACAGGTCACATGTTCAACAATCACAATGAGTCAAACTGCCACCTCTTCCCCGGAGATAAGGAGGCTTTGTCCATTTGAAGGCTTCTCTAAAACTCTTACACAAGGTCATTGTTATGTCAGGGACACCCAACTAAACAGCTCAGACTAAAAAGGCAGGAATTTTTGGGTCATCTGACTGTACCAGTGGCCCATCAGTTTTGTATTTCCTTTCTTGTAGCTATTGTAGACTGACTATATCTTGGCATATGATACACTGTATTTATACTGAAGAAAAGATGTGACTCACATGATTTCATGAAGTGCTAACTGTTGGCTTGCACATTGGCTCTAGATTCTGTAGGTCAAGGTCGGTGCGATGTTAATAACCCTGCAGGGAAAAGACATGAAGTTGCAGACAAGTCTTGGACAGTCAACCTTGAGACAGCATAAGGGAGTAAACAATTTTATTTCATGGAGGGATCACATGCTCCTTCGCAACCTGAGGAAAAATCACAGGTTCTGAGTTGGTGACTGTCAAGACCAATTGGACAAAGTCTACCAGAAAATGCACTGCAGTCTTATGATGAAAGTGCTGCTGCAATCTGTGTAATGTCCATGTCTGTCCAACAGGAGGGGGACAAATTAAAGGAAATACTATACAGTATTTCAAACTGCAGTAAATATCACCTTGACTAATTGGAATCAGTTTAAAACACTGCAAAATAAGATGATGTAGCAGGACGAAGTTTCAAAACTAATGATGAGATACCACATGAGGAGGACTGAAAGAAAAGTGGACCCTTACTATCATGGACTGTAAGACACTTAATGAGGGTATTTGCCTAATAACATCACAAGCCTTTCAAAATGACCTCTGACAATCTTAACAACAACCATACATAGCTTCACCTGCAGTTACTAATGGACGCTACTAATGCAAGATGTCTCCCCCTCTGTTGGTATTTTAAGCCTCCACTGATCATCCTCTATCAGCCAAAACCAGCACATACTTGGTTGAAATAACTCTCACTTTATGTGCATCCAGTTTTCAATGTTCTTTTCCTTTTGTGCTATTTTTAAACATGAAACAGCGAGGTCTGCATAATGTGAAGCAGAGAACAGAAAAACTAACCCAGATCTGTCACGTGAAGCTCCACTGGAAAATATGAGCTCGGCCCAAAATCCACAGCAATAAAACAGTTGGGTCTAACATGGTATGATAATGATTTCAGCCAACACCATTTGATGTATAAAATTTGAAACTGATTGGATCAAAATGCCTCCTCAAATGGAGATATACGTTCGAGCACCAACAATCTTAAGGTCCAGACAAAAATAATCCCTGGCTGAAGTCAATAAAGCAGCACCTGTTCGTGCTGCTTTAATGAACACCAGAGGGAATACAAAGGCAAAATGTGATTTCCTGTGAGACCCAGTAATGAATGCTATCAAACTGGCACATCACACTCCACACTCACTATTATTCTGCTGAATATCAGAGAAGCTACAGTGCTAATGTCTCTATATATTGTTTTCGCACTGCAAGTGTAGTGGGATTATTCTGCTTTGGCCAGCTGGTCCCATGGGAAACTGAGAGTGTTTAACAAGACTCAACAGTTTATGGCTATTTTGTACTACCGGTATATTCACTATTGCTTCACTTTCACAGTTTAGCCCAAAAACTAAAATTAAAAAAAGCAGAAATTGTCCAATTGATAAAATATTGAGAAATAAACAAATAAATTACGTTACAAATTGCATTTTGATGTGTCTTGCAAGCACCAACAGAGAGAACGAGCAACTCTTTGGCTCAAAACAAAAATGCGTTTGTACAACCATAGAGATAAACCGACTATGAAACTTGGTTTACCAGAACAAAATATTCTCACATATGCTCTACAGATTTAAGGGAATGAGAATATGCTGAAAACTATTTTAACAAGCAACTGGTAGTCAATTTAAACAGGAAACTAACATTAGGCAGATGGTTTTCCATGTTGTTGCATATTTTACAAATTGCAAAAATAATAGAGTGGAATGTAGAAAAGAGTTTTTCTAGCAAAGATTTTACACATGAAAATTTAATAATGAAAACTTCTTTAGAGAAAATATATTTGTTTTGCCATTCCACAAATTTACATCATACAAAATTATATATTAAAATCATGTAGAAACAGCAGCAACAGTATTTAAACCATTACAAAAATGTTGTTCTTCAAGGCAAATTATTTGGCTGGTTAAATCCTTGTAGTAACTAACAGAAGTCTCTGTTTCTCCTCATCGTCTGCGCATGCTCTGGTCGACGTCTCTGGTTAACGTGAGGCGGCTCTGGTGAACTCATGACGATGTCTATGGATATGGGAAATGAAAAGCGATCCAGCATCTGCATGATCTTCTCCTGGGGAACACCATGTTTGTTCCTCCTTGAGGTTAAACAAGTGCAGTGAGGTCATGTTAGGAAGTTCAGTTTTCAAAGTCTGCACCAGCATGAATGTGTGATATGATAATTAATAAGGAATCATACTTTTCAAGCTCGTAAGGATCCAACTTCCAGCTGGTGTCAGGTTCACAGAAGTCCACTTTGTATCCTCTCTCCAAGGCCTGTTCAAAAGTTGGACGTTTTTATTAGGATCTATGAAACACTATTGATTAGTTCATTAGTACTATTAATATGTGACATCACCACCTACCATTTTGACATATGGCTTCATTTCCCAGGCTTGAATGTTTGTATTATCAATAATAATTGGAGACCGGCAATCATGCATAGCATCTTTAGCTGAAAGACGATTAAACACACACACACACACAAAAAAAAATTATTGAACCAAGTTCTGGCAAGAAAATAAAAATCTCATCAAACCTCATTTCTAAAGCTTAACTTGTTTTCCTGATATTGCAAAGACTTCACTGGCTGAAAGGGCACCTTTTAACATTTTTGATTTAAATAGTGGTTCACCAGACCACTGTAACTCCTCTTCAGACACAGTACTGTGCAAATGTATTAGGCATTTAGATGTTTAGATTCTTATCCACTGCGCAATACCATCAAGGAGGTTTCTGATTGGTTCAAAATCATTCCGCAGAATGAAAACAACCCCGGACATATAGCCAGAGCCATTAAGCTATCGTCAGTGAGTCCTGCAACAGCTGGTACGTCCCCCACAGGGCCCTGATCTCAACATTATGGAGTCTGGGATTACAAGTACCTTGAAGAACCGTGTTCATGTGTACCGAGGAGAACTGATGCTGCTTTAAAGGCAAAGGGTGGTCACACCAAATATCTATTTCATTAAAGTTTTTAGTGCACTTTGTATGAAGTTAAAAATAAAAACTATTCATGGCATTATTTTTTGAAAGAAAACTTGCTTTACTTTGAGTGCCCCAAACTTTTGAACGATACTGTAAAAATAGTCTTATTATGAAGACAACAATAAAAAGACTGCTCTGACAGAAATGCCTTTGTGATGCAATGAAAACTTTTCTCATGCTAAGGAAATAACTATGATGAACCACTTAAGTCGCGTGAGCGTTTAGGGAGACAATACCTCTGCTCTGGTTCCATTCATGGGCCACGCCAAGAAGGCCTGGTTCATAGCGGTAGCCATTCTTTTGAGCAAAGTAGTCATCTGTGCTCAGTATCAGCCCACTGGGACCAGTGGTGAGCAGCTCCCTGTGAGAGAGACATGTCACAAATGTACAACTAAGATAATACATTCAGGCTTAGAAATTGAGTGTTAGGCTCTTTTAAACTGAATACAACCATTCAAGTGAATCAAGATTACACATACGTACCTGGCCAGTGTAGATTTCCCAGATCCTGGCAATCCCCTCATTAAGATCAGCACCAAAGAAGAAGAGGATGCATGAGAGTTATCAGAAGATCGGCAGTGATGCTGTTGCTTCCAGAGTTCATTTTCAGAAACAAATCTCTGGCCCCTGTCATTGTCTTCGTCGAACTGAGACCACTCTTCTTCTCTGTCTCTAGGCCATCCCCTATTTACGTCATCTGAGTATGTGTCGTAGCTACAACCCCGTTCGTCCCTGTCTAAGTGATGTGGATAATCTCCATAATAGCCCTGAGTGGGGGGACTGTATACATTCTGAGATGGGAAGCTAGAAAATGTTGGAAAATGCGCCTCCTCTTGATACTGGTTCGGCATGCCTGAACTTCTCCAGTTATGATTCATGTGTGGTGGCGGGTTTTGTGGATTTGGGAATGCAGATGGGGGTGGTGCGTGATGGAATGGGGGTGTATGTAATCTTGGGTTTGGTGGTCTGTCCAGTGGTTGAGGATAATTCCAGTGATTTTGAGTTGGAGCAGCTCTACCAAAACTCGGGTCCATGCCTGGTCTCGGCCTTCTGGGGTAGTATGGCTTATTTTGATACCAGTGAGGCCAGGATGGCTGGTTCTGTCCACTGCTTTTCCAGAAGCCGTCAGATTTTTCAGATTTCATTGCGTGAACACTTTTCTCCTTGCGTACATCCTGAGTCTGTTTGCTGGTAGATGTTTTTGGAGGTGAGGGTGGTTGAACAAAACATTTACCTTGTTTCCCTGGGTTACCATTAGCATCATCAGGTGTATCGATCTTCTCAAGCTCTTTATAAAACTCGCTCAGTGTGTCTTCAATGCCAGACTTGATTGTGGCTATTTCTGGAGGAAATGCCGGACCAATGAAAGTGGTGCTGGTGAGTCCTACCTCCTTTAACACACGCTCCCTCACACTGCTGTCCCGACTGATGCAGTCACTGCTCACACAAACAGTGTTTTTGTCAGCAGAGTCATCTCTACCACCTTCAGTACTTTCACCCACACAAGAGCTTTCTACATCAGGAGAGGCCGAACAGGAGGATTCAGTGTAAGACATCTGCATGAAAACACATTAAAACAAAGTTACTATATTAGAACGTATACAATTATAACTAACCTGTGTAGTTATTTTCATTATAACATACGTTATCATTATTAAATTCATGTTTACAATTTCATTGTGAAGGTAAATCAGTATGACTGTGTTTGCGCGCTTACAGTCATTGAGGTAATTTCACATTTATTTAAGCCAAAACCGAAATCAAGCCTAACAGTTAACCGTTAGCTAACGTCATGACACGAGTTAGACAGAAGACGGTGAAAAAAACTTACGTTACGTTTAATACTTCACTAACTCATCATACCAACATAGAGTAAATGTCGTTATTCTTGAATCCTTACCGTATACATCAAATACGAATAAATAATGGGGGAAAAACATTAACAAAAAAAAACCCGGCACACAATTTCAACATTGTCAATACCTTGTGTTTACGGAAGTAACATTGTCCTTCTTTTCCTCTTTAACGGCTAGCTAACCCGCAAGTGAGTGCGTTAGCGCCATCAGCTGGTCTGGAGCGGCACAAACTACACTCAGTGGCCGCTGTTACTTTCAATCAATCCAGCTGTTTTCCCATAAAATCTAAAATACTTTTATGATAACTTGTATTTAAACAGGATTAGTTTTAAGATATACTGTATAGTGTTGGTGTTAACTACCTTTTAAAGTGACACTTTGAGACTGCATTTATGATCTTTTCTTCTGGAATGATGTAACAAATGTAAGGCACATTTTTATACATATTATATTATAATATATTATATTATGTAGTTATGTTTAGTTTGAGCTTTACTATTAAAATGACAACAGAGAATCATTTACCTTCAAAGTAGGTCTTAATAACTATGTAAAGTGCTTTACAATTTTGTCTTAAACTATCATGAGCCACAGTTTAAGTATTGCACTATCCTATACAGTACAAGTATGTTATTTAAAAAAAGTTTGTCACTATTTATTGGCGGGACAGCTCCTGATCATCTCTCAGTTATCTGGCCTCAAACAAAACACAATTAGGGGTTTATGAAGCTAAATTTGTGTTTAACTTACTTAACTTTACAGACAGAAAAGTAGACAGAAGAGAAGAGGATTGGTAGGAAGTGATGACATGATTTTACTGGCAATTTCTCCACTTTAATTAGTCCAGTGAGACTACAAAAACCACAGAACATAGACCATGCGCAGCCTTTACCCTTTTTCACTAATTTGTACAGTTTTTCCGAAGTTGCAACGTACTCATCATCATACAGTCTTAGGTACCTACAGTAAACCACCAGCAAGCAATGTTTGAGTATCAATCATCGCCAGTTCCTCGTCATTCACCCATTCATCTTCCACCTGCGGAACAACAGGTTTGCGAGCTGGAGTCTGTACAGTTTTTAAAGTGCTTGGTGTCCCAGACCTCCGAGGGGGGTTGAATGTCTTATTTACACTTGGAGAAGCCACTGCGCCCAGATGGGCGAGAGATGGTGGAGACGGGATACGAGAAAGATAGTCCAAAGCTCTTCTCCTCTTCAGGCTTTTGGGGTCTTTCTCAGTTGAAGGGGTTGCTGCAGGAGGGTTTCTGCTGACAGGTGTGAAGGATCCAAGGCTTCTGATTGGCTGCTGACATACCAGCTGCATATAAAGAACACAATTTTAGCTTTTAAATCAACTACAAGTGGTTATGAGAGCAAATGTATTAAACAGCCCTAGATACCACAGCAAGTGCAATAAACTCACACTTGTGTCTTGTCTTCTGTCTGATGTGCAAGCTGGGGTTTGTGGTTGCAGAGCTGGAGAACAGATGGAGCTCAGGCCATTAGACTTGACTAAATGTGAAAGCTTCTCCTCACAAGTTGGAAAAAAGTTCTCCTGACTCTGAAAACACATGACAAAAATTATAGTTATGACATTTTATTGTATCCAAACAAAGGAAGTACAAAAGAGAAAAGTCAGCACCCACATATAACCATTTTAGTATATGTCTCATCCTGATTTCTTCATCACATGAAGTATTTTGGCTGCGAGAGCGTCCAGCCTTTGATGTAGAAGCTGAATGATAAATACTGTTTTTGAAGCATGTCAGCAGCTAAAAGGTTTTGGATTTAAGCACTGTACCTGGACCAGGTTTCTGAGCTGGCTAAAGGATTCCTGTAGATGAACCTCTTTGGGGTTTGTAGAGAAGACGGTCAGATCTCCAGCGTACACAACAGGAGTGGGACATGTGGACTGACCTCTGAGCTGCAGGTTGCTCAGAGCCAACAGCACACGGGGTTTTACGACATCTTCCAGGCCAGACTGAGAAAAGCTGCTGAAACAGCGCACTTTAACAAAGTTCAGTCTTCCATCAGCCAAATAAAATGCAGGAGAGGAACCTGTATTCAAAAGTAAAAACAATTATTCAGTGAACTATATGGTTATGGAAGAAATAGTAAAAAGGAAAAAAAAAAAATCACCAACCCTGTCCGTCTATGACACTGATGATATATCCTGTGAGATCAACCTCTCCACACAGCGGCTGGAATTCTGGGTTTTGAATATTCACAAAATTGGTAGAAACCCTCGGTTGAAAACGTGCCATTAACCACTCCTGGGAAGCCTGGATGATAAAACAAATCATACATATTAGAAAATATCTCCATCATCTAATAATTCACATACATTGTATGCATAATTCCATAGGTAAATCATGTGTACTAAAGACAGTAGTTTCCTATACCTGTAGGTCCTGAAACTGTGTTTTCTTTGTCCCAGTGAGTTGAACAGTTTCAATGCTGCTGCGTTTCTTTCCATCTGAAGTGGTGAGGTTATAGACTTTGTATCGACAGCCTTCTTTCAGTAAAGACTGTAGATCCGAGGAAGGCCGCCAGAGATTCAACTGGTAAACTAAAACCAAGAAAAATAAATTACAACCGGTATTTGAACCCACAACAGTACATAAGTTGAAGTAATCATTAATAAGTCAAAAAAGAGGAAAAACACACGCACCACTGCCAGGTTGGCCCATGGAGTCAGCAATGTGGAGTCTCCACACAGGTGTAACGTCTCGTTTAGGACAGCCCCCGTCATCGTTTTCTGCTTCCAGAGCTCGACGGTATCGATCCTGCAGATCAGCCTGCTTCTTCTCCATCAGAGAGCGACGGTAGGTTTGTAGAGTCTCTAACTGCTGTTCACTCAAATGAGCCTAGGGCATGGAAGTAAGACAGATATGCAACTAAAACTCTATTCATAAAGAGACATTAAGTCAACAATATGTAAAGTAAATTTCCTATCACCTCAAGGTAAGATGGGTCATCCCCCACTGCTTCATACAGCTCCTCTCCATCTTGCAGATTTGCAATATCCTGACGACTTATTGTCCGTCTTCTGCGTTGAGGTTTGTTATTACCTGAAGATGAGAACTTGTTAAAACTTCTCCCAATTCAATATGTACATAACAAGCTAAAAATATTCCTACCTTTCTCCTCCTTTTCAAATTCAGTTTGAATCTTGGCAAAAAGGATTTCCATGGCCTTCTGTTTGTGGCTGCTGTATCGTCTCGCCTCCTTCTCTTCTGCACGAACAGAACGGAACACAACGCCCCCATCTGGTTTCCTCTGCATCCACTGGAAAATGTAACAAGCATACAGTCAAATGGATCGTAACATGGACTTCCAGGAGTGATAGTAAATCAATCAAAGACGAAACTCACCTGTAGGGGGTAGCTTCTTAGTATGGTAATGTCCACACATCCTACTGGCCCTCCATTTCTATACAAACAGGAGACAGGAAGCAGGAATGGCCGGGGATCTCTGTGAAATCCCAGCTTAGTATCCCACCGTGCAGGTCTGCTGCTATTGGTACAAATCTAAAAACAAAAAACAAACAATAAGTCAACATGTTATGTTTGTTGAACTTGTCGAAAGATAGAACAACTTTTGATCTCCTTGTTAAAGTACCTTTAACATGAGCGATTCAGGTGCCTCCAGAGGTGAGCAAGCATCTTGTGATCCCACCAGCTGAGCCCCATGGATGATCAGCTTCCATCCGACAGCCAGTCGACCTTTGTGAAGCATGGCAGTCAAAGGTTCATCCAGCTGGGCTTTAATGGCGTACCATCCGTCTGTCAGCCAAACAACTGCAGATGGGGATTCAACCTTGGCATCAGCTCCTTGTGGAGTCTTGGTGTCATTACGACTCTGTCTGTTTGGGGATTGACCCCTGGAGACGATCCCACAAACACAGAGCACCAGGGTTTTGGCTGCTGTGTCGTCCTTTTCCATTATCTTCCTCAGAGCTGGCCTACGGCTGTGGTCGATCTCCACATCATATCTGAGACATGTAAAATAAAGTAAATAATTAATTAACATTAAATGTAAAATTAAAACACTTCATTAGTCAAAAAATATAATTTACATAAGCATACTGCTCTTCCCATGTATTTTATCCATTAGCAAAATAAGTATGTATGTAAATATGTAAAAATGATATGTGACATATGTAGAAATTACATATTTACTCAAACTTCTTTTTATTCTTATATAATTTAATTAAACCAAGTAGAAGTACTGAAGTACTTAATAAAGTAAATCATTGAAATAATCCACATGTATCTTAATAGTTTTAAGTCATTTTTTTTTCAAGTAAAAATAGCAAATTTAATTGGTTTCAGCTTCTTTGTCTTCTGTTATAGTAAACTGTATCTTTCACTATTGTTTGGACAATTCAAGATATTTGGAGCCATCACCTTGGGCTGTAGGGAATTGTGACAGACATTTTTTTTAGTAAACTCAACATATTAAAGACAAAATTAATCAAGAAAATAATCGACAGATCAGTCAATAATGAAAAATAATCATTGTCCGCATCAGTAAAACCGAGCCTATTGTAAAGATTACACAAATGGCATTATGCTGTGTGTAATACTAGGGTTTGTCCAGGAGTATATTTGGTATTTACACATTCATAGAACTGATAAAAAATACAATCCTACATACCTGTACTTGAGCTGTAGGAGAACCTGCTCTGGCGTGAGACGGAGGCTTCCCATTGTTTCTGGAAAAGATCTTTCCATGGAGGCCTGTTTCCACACAATCCATTTGTAGTGATTGTACACCCACTCCTCACTTATCAGCTTAGGATCCACACCTGGGGTGTCACATAAAGCTCTGTGGACAGCGAAAAACAGGATGATGTTCAGTGCTATCAGCCCGCAGGCTGCATTTGCAGACACCAAGATATACCTGGTTTAATAAAAAACAAACAGTATAATATGATTAAGATTACAAAGACTGATTTAAACTCAACCTCAAATTAATAATACCTATAAAACTCTTCTTTCCCTGCAGTCCCATCGTTGCTGGGGATCAGCCTTCCTCCATCTGCAAGCTGAACACCACCTCCGTCTATAAATGCTTCCAGTTTGAGGAACTGTTGCAAATTGAAGCGAAAGGTTTCTGCAGTCTCACTTGTGATCTCAGACACATGCTGATGTACTCCATATCCATACAGCTGAAACACAGCAGCATCAAGATGTTTACATTACAGATATTTAAATTAAATACAACAAAATGCACTGTGACAACATACACTCTGAAGTCCTGGCCTTGCCTGTTTTAGAGTGTATCTTGCAGGAGGTTTTCCATTTACTGCAGCTTTTAATGGGATCCTCGAAACCCCCGAGGTTTTGGTTAGAAACAAACTGCCTGGAAATGGTCGAATCGTCTGCCGCTTCTTTTTCCTGATTCTCATGTCTTGCATATCCCGTGCCAGTTCCACATTTTCAAGATTCAGAAACATGTCTGTAAACCATAAAGACATCATATTTGTACCTGTTATACAGAGTGTTTACAGTGTATCATACTGACTTCATCCCAAAAGGTTACTTCACCTTGGCTTCTGGAAGATGTGTTCTCCACACATGATGCCTCTGCAGCAGCGTCCTCTGATCCACAGCCAAAAGGAACGTTTTGATTATCCTTCAAATAATCGTTTGTAGTATCAGGCAAGGCCACTGTCTGAATGTCTTCTTTGCTTCTATTACCAGTTACATCTATACTGCTTTGTGTTTTTTTAGTGGGCGGTACAAAAATGTTGCTGTAAGAGGGTGCTACAAAGAGATGGTGGTGTTTATTCTCCTCCTCTTGTGGTTTAGATGAGCTCTCTTGGACAATAGTTCTTTGTTTTTTGAATGGGGGAACAAATGCAGAGGGTGTTCTTATGTTGTCCTTGAGGAGTGCATTCTTGTGACTCTCGGTCTTTGTGTTTTTGATGAATGGAGGAACAAACACTGGCATCTTGGAATGTGCTGATCTGCTCTCTCCTGAGGCTGAATGTTGTGTTGGTGTTGTCTTTTGCTGGCTGGTTTCCACATAGGTTTTTCCATTCCTGTGAGACAAAAAAAAAATACAGATCACAAAGAGCTGAAAACTTGTGTCTGCTGCTTGAAACCATGGCCAACAACTCAAAGGCAACTTACTTGTGTGGCCTTGTGATGTTTGGATGAAGACAGACGCTGTACTTGAAAGCTCTTCTGTCTTTAATTACACCTTAATTAAGGGGGAAAAAAACAGATCAAGAGTCATTTAATTTATAAGACAAGGTATGCATTCTTTAGATAATTAGTTTCAGTGCTAATGACTTACTATTTGGACAACTTTTTTGTGGTCTGAGTGTTGAACATCTTGGACCATCAACAGTCCTATCAAATTCTTCCAGCAATCGTCTTTTCAGCGGAGGTTGGCCTAGAATATGTCAAACCAAGTCAAGTCAACCATTAAAGATTAATAGTGATGGCTATAACACACAGATTCACATCTTAAGGTTAGTAATAATCAAACATCTTAATTTTTTTTTTGTTAATTTCAAAATAACAGTTCATGTGCAATATGGGAAAAATCTATTAACTTAAAATGTCTAACAGGGCTAAAATAGTCAAAACTTTGACCCCAGTTGAAAGAATTGCAATTAAATTAATTTGTTCTTCAAATAGTCCATATTCAGTAAGATCTGAAAACACTGAGATAAGACGTGCAGCCACTTACCAGTCATATCTGCATCGTCTACTGATCTTTTCCCTCTTCCTTTTTGTTCCTCTACAGATCCGTTGTTGGATTTTGGGTTATCTCGCTGTGGCACATTTTCTAACGTCACTGAGAGACTTTGGCCAGCTAGACTTTCATCCTCTAACAAAGCTTTAGTGCAGTCAAGAGCTTCCTGGGCCAGAAACTTCTGCTGGGTCTCAGTACAGCCACTGAGATTAAGTGACTGTAATATTAGAACTGAAGACTCCTCTGACCTTTTGAGCTTCGGTCCCTCTCTGCTGCTTGTATGATTTACTTCATTATCCAACACATTTGCCATCTCAGCTCCGGGAGTGTCATGGAGGTTGTCCACCGATGATGGGGTAATTTTGCCTTCTTTAAACTTGGATGCCTCTTTAAGCGCCTTTTCTTTGATCGAAACAGAACCATGTGCACTTGAATTTTGTAGAGTTTCATTTTCATGGTAAGTGTCTTTCAAAGACTGAACACATTTGACCACCTCAGGGGCACTTTCCCTCGCAGGCATGTCCTTGTCTCTGGCTGTGGTGAGATTAGAATTTGAACTTTTCACATTTTTCACTTTTGATGGATCTGTTTTATGGGCGTCATGTGGGCTTGTTGAGCAAAAGTTTGAATCATGACTCTCCCCATCTGTAAATTCTTTCAAAAGGTTCTTTGCTTTCAAAAGATTTTTCTCTGACACGCGGACTTTGGCTCCCCCCGCAGTTGTGAAACCACAATGTACTTTTTCTGTATTTATTTGAGTATCTTTGTATTTATCACTCTTCCCTGTGTCCGAAACAGCTGGGATCTCTGCACTGAAACTGATATCACTGAAGAGAGCTTTTGCCTTCTGGAGGGCCTCAGATGAAAATGCCACAGGCTTACCACTGGCTGCAAGAAATCCACCATTCCTGAGTGATGAACAAGAATCTGGTATCTTGGCATGTGTTGGCTTTACACTGATTTTGTCCTCAACTCCGTCACATTCACTTAACAGAGGTTTTGCTTTCTTCTGGGCTGCAAATGAAATAGCAACTCCTTTTCCACTGTTCTGTGGTGGCAAACGGTCTTCTTTTTGCTTCAGTTGTTTGTTTGTGTCCTTCAAGACAGCATTTTCATTCAACAGCGATTTTGCTTTTTTTATTGCGTCATCCGACACAGATACTTTTTTTCCACTGGCTGTACAGAATCCACCACTACTGCTGCTAAATTCACTGAAGACAGAGGAACCGATGTTCTTTGATATTGTGCACAATGGGGAAGACAGTGGCGTTGCCATCAAAGGCGGGTTTCCATTGGTAGAGTCTGGTGTGTTCTTCAAAACACCTTTGGGAATCTCCACATCGTCATGATGCAGCGAGTTTTCATGGTTAACAACTGGTCGCACGCTCAAATTTTCAAACTCAGCGCACCCACTTCCACTCTCTTCAGAGGTGTTTGTCACCCTCTGATGTTGTTTAAATTTTGAAAGGTGTTTCTTCTCGCTGCCACTCCCTCTCACAGGTTCTATACTTTTATCACAGATTCCATTGCTACTGTCCATACTGTCACAGTCTTTGAAGAAAGCATCTGCTCCTTGGTTTGCCTTTGCAGGAATAGAACCATCATCAAATTCTTTCAAAATGTTTGTGGCTTTCAACAGGTTTTTCTGAGACACATGGACAGTTGCTCCCCCTGCAGTCATGAAACCACATTGTACTCTGTCTGAATTTCCAGTATTGTCTTGTTTCTTGTCGCTGTTCCTTTTGTCTGAAACAGCTGGGATCTCTGCACTGAAAGTGATGTCACTGAAAAGAGCTTTTGCCTTCTGGAGGGCCTCAGCTGAAAGTGCCACAGGCTTACCACTGGCTGCATGAAATCCACTATTCCTGGATGAAAGGCTAGGAACAGGCATCTTGGAATGTGTTGGTTTTACACCGATTTCATCCTCAACTGCTTCACATTGACTCAACAATGATTTTGCTTTCTTGAGAGCTGCAGATGAAATGACAACTCCTTTGCCACTGGCTGTCTGAAATCCGTCATTTTTAGGTGGTGCAACTTGAATCTGATTGGCGAGATGACCTGGTCTTAGAGCATCTCCTTTCTGTTTCAGTTGTTCCTTTGTGTCCTCATCTGTATGAATTTCATTCAAAAGACACTGGGCTTTTTTCATTGCATCAGCTGACACAGATACTTTCTTCCCACTGGCTGTAGAGAATCCACCTCCATTGCTCAACCGATTAATGGCAGAGGAACCAGTGCTCTCCAACAAGTTTCCATGGAAAGAAACTGCATTTGGTAAAGCCGGGGTATTCTTAAAAGCAGAACTCTGAATCTCCACATTATGCCTCAAAACCTCTGTTGCTGGTCCAGCCTTCACTTTTTCAAATTCACAGATTGGTGCTTCAGAGAAGTTTTCTTCAATCCCCTCGACATTTTTGAATTTTGAATGTTTTTTCTTATGACTGACACTTGCAGGCAAGGATTCTATGCTCTTTTTATGTTTTATTGACATGCCAGTGCTGCTGTCACAGTCTTTGAAGAAAGCATCTGCCTCTTGAATAGCTTTTTCTGAAATATTAATCCCTTTCCCACTGGCCATCTGGAACCCACTTCGACACATGGCTTTGTCCATTCTATTTTCAAAATTTCTGGCAGAATCTTTATCTCTAATGCTTGTGACCCGCCTCTGCTCGGTTTTAGCATCAACTTCACTGCTTTGCGCATCTGGTGATTTCTGATCTGTCAGATTTTCCTCTAAATCTGCAAACAAAGCTCTAGCTTTGCTAAAACATTTTTTTGAAACTCTCAAAACATTTCCTCCTGCAGTTTTAAATCCTACACCAAGCATCAAAGGATTTTTGTTCTCCTGCTTGCTAGTTTCAGTGAACCCAGCTCTGTCAAGGTTTTTGGGTTCAGCTGACATAATACTGCCTTCTGAGGTGTGCTTCGAAGAGGAAGACACGTCTTCAGTAAAAGAATTTTCTTTTTTCATTGCACTTGACGATGATATAACTGTGGATTTACTTGTTCCCTTTGATGTCACACAGTTTGCTTTACCATCTGAAACTGGGGCCATTTTATCAAGCATCACAGTTATTGC